ACCGCCTCTTGGAAAACACAGATTAAAGGTACTTCTGTTGTTCACATTGTCTTATTTGTCTTCCAAAATAATAAAGTATGGTTATAATTTCAAATATCTGAACCACAAATGAAAATATGACTGTTTCTTTTTTCTAGGTTGTAGAGTTTATTTCAGTCTTACTCACAGTCGGTAGTGAAGCAGCAGAGAAGGAAATAATTCGACTTGGAGCTGTGAAAAGAGTGTTGGACTTGTTCTTCGAGTAAGTGGGAGTTAACATTTTCTCAGGTGATGATAGGCAGCCTGTCATGCTAAATTTTGGTGCAATGTTCTCTCAGGTATCCCTACAATAACTTCTTGCATCACCACGTGGAGAATGTAGTTCTCTCATGTTTGGAGAGCAAAAACTCTCAGCTTCTTGACCATCTTCTTAATGAGTGCAATCTTATTGGGAGTATACTGGAGGCGGAAAAAAACTCCGTACTAACTGCTTCTGATTCTGATAAGGTGAAAATACTTAATTGATAATGTCAGGTTTGGCATTATATCAATTAACTCTATGTACATGTGTTGTCTCAGCTTCAGCCTACAGTCCCTGCGGAGGGTAGAACGCCAGTCAGGATTGGAAACATTGGTCACTTGACTCGTATATCAAACAAACTTCTTCAACTAGCTAATAGCAACGCAGAAATTCAGTCACATTTGCAGGTATACGATATGAAGCGCAAATTGTTTGGTTATGGGTATCCCTAGTTTTCTGAGTTTTATGAGAGTAACTTCGTTGTTGCTGTCTAATTTTTTATAGAAGATCCAATGGTCAAAAACAATTTGCTCAGTGCTTAATCTCTGTTTGATTTCTCTCAAAGATATTTCTTTGATAGCTTGTTTGCATATGAAATGTTCTGAGGGGTTCTAGCCTTGTAGGGCACTTGTCTTTATTATCAAACTCCAATCTCCTTCACTTCTTGTTAATGTTCTTACGTTTTTACCAGGAAAATAGCAAATGGGTGGACTGGCAGACAGATGTCCTGTCAAAGCGTAATACACTCGAAAATGTCTACTCTTGGGCATGCGGGTATGTATTGTTTCTCGTAGTGGGAGTTTTGCTAGACAGATAAAAAACTTTATGAAACATGCTTCTGATTTCAATTTATGACAAAAACAGAGAGGTTATTGATAGTATTTTTCTTATCGAAGTTTGTGACTTTTGTGTGAATCTGCTTTTATAGCAATCAAGATATATGATAAGTTAAATGTGATTGCATTATCCCGGTAGATGCCAATAAGAGCTTTCTTTTGGTGATGGTTGGTGTAGTAAATAGATAATTTCTTTTACTAATTGCTCTTCCTTTAACAGGAGGCCAAGTTCACTCCATGATCGTAATAGAGATAGTGATGATGATGATTACCACGATAGAGACTATGATGTAGCAGCCTTAGCAAACAACTTGAGCCAGGCCTTTAGATATGGCATGTACAACAATGATGACATGGAGGAGGTAATGTTTTCGTGTTTCCTTGTCATAGCAGCTACTTGGTGATCATTTTTTGTATATTACTAAAATCACATAAATCTAAGCCCCATACTTGCTTTGAAGTTTTTGGTGTCAATTGTTGAGGCAAAGGAGGAAACCGATTCATGATTTTTGTAGAAAATCATTTTTGTTTTGTGTTTTCTTTAAACGTGCTATAGTTTCTGAGGATGATATATAGTGAAATCAGGTGCAAGAGTGTCCAGAGTTCTGATGATGTCTTGGACCACGGGAAGTAATGTAGTTATTAGAACTCTATATTTAGTGGATAGTTTAAAATGTCACTTCTTTCTCCATTCGTTCTCTACTTGGTTGACCTCTTGATAGTTAAGTATGCGGATTTCCTTCTCTTCCTATATCATCTTTCCTAGTCTGGATTTAGCTTGGTTAAGTCGGTTCACCAGGGCAACTATATTATGTTTAGAGCTTTTGATATTCGGTTGCATCCTTTTCCTGAAGCTGTAAGAAGACTACGTGCTATGAACATTTTCTCTACCATTTATATGTTTTATTTATCCACTGCAGACCCAAGGCTCTATTGAACGCGATGATGAGGTACTATTTTTCTTTTCCTTATTGTTACGAATTGAGGATTGACTTTCCAAATCTTGGTTATGTGACGCTTAACAAAGCTTCCGACCTTATGTGAGAATATTTCGTATGTGGAACGAGTATTANTATGAACATTTTCTCTACCATTTATATGTTTTATTTATCCACTGCAGACCCAAGGCTCTATTGAACGCGATGATGAGGTACTATTTTTCTTTTCCTTATTGTTACGAATTGAGGATTGACTTTCCAAATCTTGGTTATGTGACGCTTAACAAAGCTTCCGACCTTATGTGAGAATATTTCGTATGTGGAACGAGTATTAGTTTCGCACCGTATCTCCCTGTGTTATTTATTATCGCGACTCCTTTGCATGTCGTCCAAGCAGTCAATATAATAGCTTTAGTGATTAAAGTAGACATGAGCGCCTCTTATGAAGTCTATGTTGCAGGATGTTTACTTTGATGACGAATCTGCAGAAGTCGTCATATCTTCATTGCGCCTTGGAGATGAACAGGAGAGGTAATGGGTTCGACTTTTTCTTTTCTGGTAGAATTCTATTCCGTTGACTCTTTATCATATGGTTGATGCGGTCCCTTCACTTACGAATTGTAATCTGGTGTCTTTGTAGCGGTTCTCTCTTCACAAATTCAAACTGGTTTGCTTTCGATGATGAAAAAGCTGCGGATGAATGCTCAATGGCTTCCCCTCCACCCAATGATGATGAAGATGATGATGATGATGCTGTCATAGGTGAAGCCGATGATGACTTCAAGGACACTGCAGACTCCCCACCTGTTGATATGGAAACAGAGGATTCTACATCAAAGAATCCTTCTGAAAACCAGAGTGAACCAGAAGCCGAAAAATCAGCCGGTTGGGTCGAATGGAGAGAGACCTCCGAGTCCACTGCGCCTTCTTCAAACCCAGATGAAGCCACCACATTGCCCAATGGTGGGGTTCAAATGGATGATGGTGATGATACTGATAAACAAATTGCAGAGGATTCGCCAACAGGTGCAAGTGGCGATGAAACCACAGAGAAGTCACCAGATGCAGCAAGTGGGGCTGAAATAGCCGAGAAGTTGAAAGATTCTAGTCCTGATGCGTCAGGACTAGTTGCTGAGTCGCATGAGAATGCTCAAAGCTCTGAACCTGCAAATTCGCAGGAAACGGAGAAGAGCCAGGAAGCAGATGTTGCTGCAGAAACCGAAGAGCCTGTGAAGGAAGTATGAGTTTTACTTAAAACCGGACTACGTAAAACAAATTCCTGCAGATGCTTATAGTTTTGGATTCTTTCTTTATTTTTTGTTCTATCATCTCCAAATCCAGTCCAACACTATTGTCGACCAAATTTGTCACTAGCCTATCATTTTTATATATAGTTTTTTTTTTTAACCTCATAAGTAGTATGTTATAAAAGTTGTTGCTCTTAAGCCGCAGATAATAATTCATGGTAAAACAATCAGATGTTAATCTCATGTCTCCTGCATCTTGTTCCTACAAAATAAATTTAATAAGAGCTTGGCTCATTTGCTTGATGCTTTCTTTCTTATGAAACAATAGCATGTTAGGCTGATATAAACAGAGAAGTCTGAGTGGAAGCCAAAGTGAAGAAGCACTCGAGAGCAACACAGTTGAATAGCAGAGTATTACTCGAAAAATGAGCTTTAACTTGTGTATTGTGAAATGTTGAAACGCGAAGATAAAAAGGTAAAGGACATGTAAAAGTTGCAAGCGTTTAAAGATGTGTCTCTTTTCGGAGATGATTCGTAGAAGTTGTACAAACTGTGGACAGTCATTTTAATTTCTGCAGTCATTTTTAAAAAATATTTATGTTTCAATCTAATCTATTAAAATGGAAGTACAAATAGGAAATACCCCTTAATTTTCCTCAAAAATTACAATGGCATGCCACTGAAAATTAGTTAACTATAAATCAATCAATACATTTATAAAAAAATAATTGGATTATTCACTTACCAAAAAAATATTCACGTGTACACACAATCCTTCACAATAATAATGAACCAATTGGTTTATAGATGTATCTAACATTATACAAACCTTCACAATTGGCTGGTTTGTACCTATATATGTCTAACATTTATTTCAAGATCGAAACAAGCCTGTTCATTGAGATCGACAGTCGAACTTATACGAACAATAACATCAAAACATTTGTTTGGTGATAATAGATATATAAGTTAGTAGCATGTCTTGTGTATGATAATAAAATATAATAATAACGAGCCGGTTGTGAAATGTTGTATAGTTCCACGCACTCTTATACAAACAAAAATGTTTACTTCACCTTTTATATAGTTAGTTTTATAATTTATGTCACATTTTATTTTTTATACTATATTTAAATTGTAAGATAGAAAATAATTATTGAGATTCTCAAAATATAATTAAGGTGACTACATTCAACTAATTTGAAGTTTTAATTGTTTTCAACTATAGATCTTCATGAGAACTTAATATAGACAATATATTTTTCTTTATATTTATTCCTAATATGTAAACT